TTAAACCCTCAGGATTGCTATTTCTGAGGTAAATAATATGGACATTATCTTTTTTAAGTAATGTAAGTTTCCCCCCTTGCCAAAGCTCAGTCACTGAAAAACCAAGCAATTTTAATGCAGCTCAAATATGGGAGGCAAACATCCAAAGGATCACATGGATCCTGCTCCACACATTCCTTCAGAATAAACAGTTTACAATAATGTAGAACCAGGACCATAAACTGGTAGTGCTTCTCTTCTGCTCTATTTGTCACATAAAATAATGCCAACTCCAACTTGGACTTTGTCTGAATGTAGAAGTTTTGCCAAAATAGCTGTCAGAATGATGAAAAATCACTCCAATGCAGCTACAACCACACTGGCAAAAGCCCTAGTGTAGATGCCATTATATTGGCAGAGTCCTTCAGCCACTTTAGCATGTTCCATGCAGAATATGATTTAAGTTACAACAGAAATCTGTGCTTGCCAATTCAGCTCTAAGGTGTAGCTATACCAGCCAACCCTTTTAAGTGTAGACAAGGCATGTGTTTCTGGCTCTACTCTATTCCTTTAAAGTTAGATTTATGGGTTTGGTTACAATTGTGAGTAAAAACCAAAAGGGATTTCAATGCATTTTGCTCATGCTGACAGTTCACAGATGTATCTAAACTTTGAATTCTGAATCTGTTAATTTATGTGTTGCCAAAAAGCAATGTATTATTTTGTGATGCTTAGTGCTATTGTCTTTCTCTTGTTAAATGCTAAAAGAAAAAAGTACATTTTTCAGTATATTAAGTATGACTTCTACTTTCAATTATTTCAGAATAAGTAAGTCCTAATCCAGTCAACCTGGATGATTTTTAAAAAAGTGAAATCTGTTATTATGATCGTGGCTGATAGATATGAACTAATTTACAAATCAAGGGTGTTCTACAAGAGTTCTGCCTGTCCTTGTAGAGCCAGCTGTTATGGTCACAGCTGGTTCCTGAACGTGTTCCTCGTGCTCAGGAGCTGTGACATCCACAGCAGGTTTAGCAGGCTGCTGCTCCTCATCCTGCTCCCAGGAGCTCGGGTTGGTTCTGAACAGCACCTCGCCCTTCACTGGACCCAGTGTTGTGAGTCTGGCAGCATTTTACTTTCCTAAACGTCTACTTGATTAGCACATGCAAAAACCACTACAGTATACAGTGGTGTTTGTTAGCAGAATACATAACTAATATTTTTCTTTTTACATTCTCAGCTTCACTTCCAATAGTCAAATACTGTGTAAAGGGTCAAGCAGGTGAAAAGAAAATTTTCACAATGGCAGCAGAGCATTCTGAGAGATGGGCAAGTGCACTTACACCATCCATTTACCTGAATACTCGTAAAACTGTGGTAAATTTTAACAGAAAAGCATGTTCTGTTATAGGGATGGAAAAGGGATCCTCATGCACTGGCTCACATAGAGTTTGTATTCTGTGAAAGCACTGGCTTCATCAGACATAAAGAACACAGTGTTAAAATGCATCTATCAAGGGATATGGAAAAAGAGTGCTCTGCAATAATGTAGGAGTGAGGTAAGGTTAAAATCATAACACTGCACTGCAAAAAAGGTGGTTGTCATAGGAGTTAGGTCCTCCATACCAATTTAAGATGAAAATACTCATTTTAGGAAGAATAACCTGAAAGTTTATGTCCAAAACTTGGCAACTAGACACCAGATGAGCCAGCAGCGTGATGTCATGTTAAGGATGCCTGCCACTATTGAAAGACTGTGTTGGTAGTTAAAAAAACCAGAAGAGACTGCTGTAATAGTGTCAAAAATTCTGCCTTGATTTATACCCCATTTTGGGCAGTTCCCATTTTTCCAATCAGATAGATTACACAAACCCAGACAGACACAGTATTCAACCATAGACTACAAAGCTGGTATCAGCTTGAAAAATTGGGACATAAACCAATGTCAGCTATGAACTGCAGTTTTCTAGCAGATTTTATTGGCATTTTATTATAAGCACAACAAGGTCTTATTCTTGTTAAAGAATGTGGCTGTAATAGCCCTATTACAAAATACTTCAGGCAACTTCATAGTCTGTGCTGCTTTCCCATCTCAGGCCCCAAACTATGTAACTAAACCTTATTTATTTTACTAAATCATTCATTAGAACTGTAGGTAGTGAGAGAAAGAAAAAAAAAAACAAACCAAAAAACCAAACACCAAAAACCAGCGGGAAGCAGAAATACCTAACATATTTATCCAAGCCCCTTTTTATCACATAACTAATATTTAGAAAGTGTGGTAATATTGTCTTTGATGCTCCTACAAGAACCTTTCCTCTCTTTTTCTTAAATGCAGCTGGATAAATACTGACCATTTCCATGTTTGAATTAGCAGAAAACATTCAGCTGTTTTGCATGAATATTCTGCACTTCTGGGGTGATGCTGTGATAAATGAATACCATACTCCTATCCTGGCTCAGCACAAAATTTTGTACCATGCTATGATATAATATTTAATCATGTAGTGTTGTGTCATTTGAAAGTGGAATTTGTTTACCATACTTCATTATTACAAAACATGTCTCTCTTAACAAGAGTGTGGTTTAAAGAAATCATTCAGTGTTTAATGAAAAATATCTCATGCTGGTGTTACTGACAGGGTTTTCAACATGAAAGAGACGTACCAGGCCCGTTTTACACTGCCAAAGTCCTGTTATCACTTTACAACTCCTTTATACTTCTAAAGGAGTATGAAGGAGCTTTAGAGTAAACACCAGTCTTGGCCTGCCTTTCATCTGTGGTGTGTCAGTGACATGGAGCTGTGTGCAAGCCAGTGGGTCAATGGGATATTAACTTGGGTTAAATGTCACAAGCACTGTTCTGTCTGGAGAATGACAGACCTTCCAAATGGGTCATGCTGGTCATTTTTCCTGATGGATTCATAGAGGGTTAAGTACATAATTACATGGAATACAGGATAATTTTAAATATAGTGAGTTATTAGGAACACTATATGTAGTCATTCCTATCAAGTATTTTGATATTTTCTGCTCATGTTGTGTCTGTGCCCTTTTCTTCTCACATATAATTATGGTGTACTTTGGCTAATACTTATCATCATGTTCCTCATGTGATTTATCTATACCCAAAATGTAAACATAATAAAATCTGGAATAACAGGGTTTATAGCAGACATGCTAATGCATGTTGTAGTAGCATAAAAAGCAGCTCTCCAAGTGGAGGGCTGCAGCAGCTGTGTATAGATAGCCACCTTGAGGATCAGCTGAGCATGGCTGGAGTTACCAGGAGCTCTCCTGCAAAATGAAGAGATGTAAGGCATAAATCTTAGTATATATTTTCAAGATGATTTATTCTTTAAAAATTAAATGAGACTTTGAAATGCACTTCTGCTTGTAAGTGACTAGTGAAATGATTAGTGTGAGCATTTGTTCCGTAGTAGACGGACTCTTAGTGTTTCCTCAGGAGTTTCCAATAAACTCCTGCTGGTGTCTGTGTCCTTTCCATCTGGCACGTGTCCAGACCAATAAAACCCTGTGTCCTGCCTTCCCATCTTCCTAGCAAAAACCTTGGCAGTGACACACAGGGCTTAAGAGCTTAGATTCAAGGCTGCACTAGGTCTGCTTACTGACTGTGTCTCTGGATTCTGGAGAGCTATAGGGAACAGGATTAACTGGAACAGCCTTTAGCTAATGTTGAACTGCATATGTTACTAAATTACATAAAAAACATGTATTAAAGGAATGTTACAGGTGCTAAGAAACCAGGAAAGTGTTTCTTTGTATGTCAATATTACTGTAACCACTTTAGGTGCAGGATTATATACTGCATTTTCCAAAGATGTCCATTTCTCACAAGGCAAAACTTCAGAAATATTTTTAAATGAAATTTAAAGCACTGGTTTGAAATACCACATTATTAAAAAAAAAAAAAGCATTCAAAAAAATTAATTAACAAAATCTTCTCTAAAAACAAATACTGCTTTCTGGAAATGTGTGAATAGTTTGTAAACACAACCGTCCCGCTGATGAACTCCCTTCTATCCCAGAGTTCATTCTGTCATTCACTATTTAAGCAGAGCTCACTATATATGAACAACATCGATGCGAAGTGGATGAAACAGCGCAGCGTTCAGACGACAGTCACAATCAAAAGTAGGTCGGTTTAAGAGGAGCTTCATTTGGCTTTTATTAAATCGAATATTCAGCAGTATTACTTACATTTCTTGAAAGTAAAAATATTTCAAAACTGGGTACTGAAGCCAGGCCAAGCCTGACATTCACGAACTCCGCGGCCGCTGCTTCCCCAGCGAGCTGGGAATTACCCCGCGCCTGTAAAGGCTGTGCCGTGGGGAAACCGCACGGCTAAAATCCCTCCCGCCCTCTTCCCCAGCGCGCACGGAAGGACAATTCATTAATTCAGTCGGTAGTTCCGCGCCTGGCGAGGTTTGTGACCGTACCGGGCCCCGAGGAGCCCCTTCCTCCCGTCCCCACGTGCTGCCGCGCCGGGGACAGCGAGTCTCGCTCAGGACAGGGAGCTGGACGCAGGACGCGAGTCCTTCCCAAGAAGGGGTGGCGGGGACGGGCCCGCGGACAGCGGAGCCCCGGAGCAGGGGCTGGTCCAGGTCCAGGTCCAAGTCCAGGTCCAGGTCCGGCCCCGAGAGACTGGACTGGATGGGCGGGGCCACCCCGACCCCGCGAGTGCCCGCCCCGCCCTCGGGGGCACGCCAGTTCCACCCAATCAGCGCCGCCGTAGCCCCCGACGTCCCGCCTCCGAGCTTGGTGTGACCAATTAGCACCCTTCTCGCGGAGTGCCCCGCCCCCCGTCCCCTGCCCTGCCGTTCGTACAACCGCGATGGGCTGGAAATCCCCGAATCCCCCTGTGACTGGCGGCGCTGCTCGCCAATAGCGCCGCGGAGCGGCGGCACCGGCGCGCTGTGATTGGCTGAGAGCGGCGAGGGCGGGCCTGCTGGGGGCAGCAGGGGCGGTTGCGCGGCCGTGGCGGCGATGGGCGAACGCGGCGCGGGCCGGGCCGGCGTGCCGGGGACCGGCCGGTGCCGCAGGCGGGCGGCGCGCCCAGCCCAGGGCCGGGCGTGAGGAGGTGAGGGGCGAGCGCGGCTGCGGGCGCCCTCAGGCAGGGCAGGGGCGGTGCGTCGGTGCGGCCCCCCGGCCTAAGGCCGCGCTCCGGCCGTGCCCGTGGCCCTGCGGCGCGGGGGGGCCGTGCCCGGCGGCGGGGCCGGGCCGGGGATGGCGGTGCGGGGGCTCCGCTGCGGGCGGGGCGGGGGCGCCGCGCGGGGGCCCGGCCGGGCCTTCCCGCAGCTCGACGTGAATCCCCGGGCAGCGCAGAAGTGTTTCGGGACTTTCCTGCCCTGTCCTGCGCGGAACCGCCCGGAGAGGGGAGAGGACGCTCAGAAATGGGGGAGAATAATCGTTCCCCAAAGCTCGGCCGAGCGGTGTGGCTCGCACGGACGTGTCTTGCCGTGGAACTCTTCGTGAGGGAACCAGTTTCAGTTTTTTTCATGTGTACGTTGAGCCGCGACTAAATTTCCTTGCTCCGGGTTTTAACCTTCCCTCGAAAGTTATTTTTGGACTGTCGGAGAACGTAACTTTGCATCTCAGCTGTTTAAATTCTTTTTTGGTGTTAAAGTTCTCTTAGAATCTGTACAATTTATTTTAGCCTCTTCGTTTTGTGCTCTGGATCACAGCTACGGACTCGTGTTCATGCTGAAACCCGATAGCTGATTCAAACATCTCTATATAGTTCATCCGAGGCTCCTGCAGGGTAGGAACAGAGTTCTTGTATTTCAGAGCAAACTGTTTTTATGATGGGATATCTCTGTAGTGACAACAGTACCTCATGACAGAAGAATAAAAAAGGAAGTTAGGGAAGCTTTGAAGTTAGATTTTTTTATGATGGCCTACCTCTGACGATTTTTAAAATGCTTTTTTCTTCTGAAGTATGTAGTGTTGCAGTCATAACTGTTTTGCCTGTTTCTCCATAAAATCCTTTGAGCGTAAAACAATTCAGGTAGGAGGTGGAGTAAAAGAAGGTAGTAGAACAGGCTCTGACACTTAAAATGCCTGTGGTGGGCAAGTACTCTTTGGTTTGCACAGGGTTTTGTAGTTGCTGGTGTGTTGTGCAGTATAATGATAACTTGTTGGTAAGTGTGCTTTGTTTGGTTCCCAAATCGATTCATACCGAGGTCTAATAGTTTATTCTGGCCCTTGTCTGATACACGTGGGCTGTTGGCTCAGCAAGGCTTTTACTTTAGTTGCAGAATAATCAATTCCATGGAAAATGGCTGAAAAAAGAAATTTAAATCCAGTGGTTTATGTAAATATGTTTTTGATATGTTGCCAAAGCTTAACATCCTTTTAACAAGCTTTTCTGTGCTGCTAAAGTACTAATTTATCACTTTTATTATTCTAAAAGAAGAGAATTTGTTTTTTAGAGCTGTATTTTTCTGTTGACAGGGGACAGTGGTGGTAGATAAGTTTTTAAAGAAGGCGTTTTTATGAAGAGATAACGAACTTTTTAATAAAGGAAAGCCTTTTGGTACTGTATCCAGTGGGTTTAATAACATCTCTGTGGATAAGGACTTTGAAAGACTGACCAGGCACCCTATAAAGTTATTGTGATATAATCTAAATGCAGTTGTTAACATGTTTTCACACTGAATTCTTTACTACTAAACATGTGAAGATTGTATGATGTTGCAGCAATGGACCTGCAAGCAGGGTATCCTTATTAAAAATAAATACGATAAATAATATTCTAAAATTAATATTTTAAAGCTCTTGAACAGACTTGTCTTTTAATATATTATTTCCATGCATACTTACTAAAATTAAAATGAATTATTTCTCTAAATAAGATAGGAAAGGTCAGGTTCCCTGTAATGTCAGAGATACTTTTTTGCAGTATATCGGGGGTTCGGTAAGTTTGTGGAATGGCTCACAAAAAAAGAAAGTGAAGTGCATCAGCTTTTGAAAGCTGAGAACATAGAATGAGCTATGAAGAACAAGACAGGATCTATTTTTTCCCCACTGTCTGGAAAAAGTAAGGGGAGAGAACTAGACAGAACTTGGAGGAAACTATTTTAACATCTGAGTAGACTTACAAAAACTAATGGTCGTGTAATCAGGTTTCAGTGTGGTGGTGGGGGAAATCCTGTTGTGTATCAGTTTCGTATAAAGCATTGCTATTTCATTCCAATAGTGACACCACTTTTTTGTCAGTCACCACAAACATTAAAGCCCGTTTATGTGTATCGAATGAAAATGAAGAAAAATAATTTTTAACTTGAGAATACATTTACAGTCTACCAGAGTTTCCCTCAGTGAGGTCTGAAACTGCCCAGATTCTGTCCCTCGGATGTTAATCACTTTGCAGATGGAAACACATTAAACCCCATAATTCCTGTGAGCTGCTGCAGCTGCAGTGCCTCAGTGTGATGGCACTGACACCCACATGCCACATCTGTGCAGAGGAGAAGCAGTTTGGAATGACTGGATGGCACAAGAGCCTCACCAAGGCAGCACAGAAATGTGTGAATTCCTGGGACTGAAAGATGAGACTTTGCATAAATTTCGGGTTGTCTGTGGTTGTTACTACTTTTCTCTGGGGGAAAGAGTTTTGTTAAATAATCTTTCTGCTTAAAAAAAGATGATGAAAATAGCTACAGTACTACTGGATTCCATTGCTTTCCAGTAGCTTCTGAAATGGGGATGGAACTAAGTAGGAGAAATAGCAATAAGTTTTGTGGTATTTGAATGCCATCGTAGAAAAGCTGGGGAGGAACAGGGTACCTAGGCACAAGGAAAAGAGATTATTTGCTTTTAATTTATTGAAGTTAAATCCATAAATAATCAGTGAGATTCTCCTTTAACCAGATGCAAACTGGCATCACAGATTACAAACGGGAAAATTTAAAAAATTATATTTTTAACTTGTACGCTGCCGTTTTCTGCCATCTTTGAAGAGTAAATCCTGCTGAGGTACTGTGGATCTTCCTTCATGTATCCAGTAGGATCGAAACTGTAGCCATTTGTGTGTATGTATTTTACTTTTGTACCTGCCACCATTCTCAGTGAAGTATTTTCAGACTTTTCTTTTTTAGTTCATTGGTTGTGAACTACAAATCTTAGGATGATGTTTAACTAAGGTGTTTATTTCTAGGGTATTTTACTAACTGAAAGTGATGTATTTCTTAATTTTTTCTCAGAAGTTCATGTTGCAACGTAGGTACAAATTGGTTTTCATACATTATCTGTTACTTACTGGAACTGACCATTTCTTTATTTAAAGAAATGGCTGTTATGAGTTACTGAAGTTTCCATTTTCTGCTGCTCTATTTCGTCAACACAATTTTCTGCTTCACTAAATCAAAATGTTATGCAGGATGACAGATGCAGTGCACTTTGTCAGAAATAAGTAGTCACTAAGCACGGGAAAAGATCTTCCATAAAATATTATTTGTAAATTTGAGAAGGATGTTTATTCCTGTTCATGTGAACTTAAGTTTTCTTTTTCCTTTCACTTATGTGTGTTTTATGTGTTTTCTGCCTTTCATTGCACTTTTTTCACAGCTCCTTTCTTCAAGGAACTAGACAAGGAAAGGAAATAGGCAGTAAATAGTAGAAATGGGTAAATGGGTCTGTCCATGATCAGCAATATTGTGGCTGTTCTGGGACTGTGGTCACTGTCTTGGATTTTGCTGAACTATTACTCTGTAGGAGGAGTGGGTCTGGTCACAGATATAAATTATGTTTTACTTAAGACTAGCTATAGTTTCCCAATTTAATTTTCTCTTTTTTTTTTTTGTTTTATTTTTTTATTCTAGGCTTCCTGCTCTGAACTCGGTTCCTTGCAAAATGAATATTGTGTTGTTTGACAAAGATTGGACCTTCCAGTAGAATTTGGAAAGACCACTGTGCATAAATCCAGAGCTTATTTTTCTTGAAGACTTCTGTGCAGCTTTTACAGTTTTAATCACAATGAATTCGGGTTTATGGAGTCAAGAAAAAGCAAGTTCATCCTACTGGGAAGAGCGGATCTTCTACTTGCTTCTCCAGGAATGCAGTGTCATAGACAAGCAGACCCAAAAGCTCTTGAAGGTGCCCAAAGGTAGCATCGGGCAGTTTTTCCAAGACCGTTCTTCTGTGGGACACTCCAGAAATATTCCTTGTAAAGGCAAGAAACTGCAGATTGGATTAAAGATTCTGGAACAACCTCATGCAATCCTGTTTGTGGATGAGAAGGATGTTATAGAAATAAATGAAAAACTAGCCGAGTTGCTTTTGGCTATTACTAACTGTGAGGAAAGATACAGTCTGTTTAAAAGCAAAAGCAGGTTAGCTAAAGGCATCCAAATAGATATTGGCTCCCCTGTTAGAGTACAGCTGAGGTCAGGAGATGACAAATTTCCTGGAGTTGTTCGCTTCAGAGGACCCTTAATGCAAGACAGGTCCCTTGCAGGGATATACTTTGGAGTAGAGCTGCTGGTAAGTCTTTTGCCAAGGGGTTTTTACTTTATAGGATGAGCTAAAAGTCTTCGATGTGAAGAGGAAGTAATAATAATTTATTTTTTAGAAGCATAGTGACCCCTGAAAATTGTTACCTTCAGTCTTTTCATAAGTATTGTTTATTAGGTACCCATGAACATGCCATATCACATCAGCCTTGTATTCTACATGTTAAATGAAGCTTGATGAGGTGTCTGGGCTGGCAGAAAGACTTGAATGTACTCTGACTCCTTTTAGCCTAGAAAAATTTAATTCACAGAAACACAGAGTGATTTGGGTTGGAAGAGACCTTAAAGTTCTAACCTTGCCTAACCACAGGCAAGGACACCTTCCATTAGACCATGTTGCTCAGAACCCCATTCAGTCTGGCCTTGAAAACTTCCAGGGAGGGACCATCTACAACTTCTCTGGGCAAAATTAGTTATATTCCCATTGTGGTGCATATGTGACTCTCAGATTTCTCTTGAGTACTTTGTTTTTCCTCCAACGTGTCAGAATACGGTCCATAAATGCAGGCTTGGATTTTAGGGCTGCTGCTTTTGTAGATCCCAGAAAGTCAAATGGCAACTAGTTAAGATAGAGAATGTAGCTGTTGTGTGCAAAATTAATGCCAACCATAAGCTTTTGAAGGATTAGTTTCAGGAGAGTGCTCCTCTTGTATTAGAAGTATAGTTTTCAAAGTACTCTTTAAACTTTTCCCAAACTTTGCAGTTCCCACTGAGAACCTCAGGGAATATCAGGCCTAAGTGCTTCTGAAAATCATCTCTCTTTATTTGGCATACAAGTGGAATTTTTGAATGCTTAGCATTATGTCTAGTATGAAGTAGTCTTGTCTTGATACGGGAAAAATTTGATGATGGAATCAAGATTTGCACCTGAAGAAAACATGCTTCTCTGAGTAAAAAGGCTTCTGCCTGCAGCTACTCTCTAATCTGATGACATCTTGCTCTTTATTCCCCTAAGATAGACAGTGTTTATATTTGCCACAAATTCTGACAATAGAATTCTCTCAATATAAAGATAGTTCACCAGGCAAATTCTTAGTGAGATTCGTCCAAAACACTGGCTTGTGTTACTGCTTTTTTAGTAGTCTGCTTTTGCACAAAATACATTGGTTTTTTTCTCTTTTCTTTTTTTCCCCCTCTTCCTCCGACACCCAGGAAGAAGGTCGCGGTCAGGGCTTTACTGATGGACAGTACCAAGGCAAGCAGCTTTTCAGATGCGATGAGGACTGTGGGGTTTTTGTTGCTTTGGACAAACTGGAGCTGGTGGAAGATGATGACAATGAACTGGAAAGTGACTATGCAGCTCCAGTTGACGCAATGCAGGTAGAACTTCCTCCTCTGGAGATCAACTCCAGGGTTTCTCTGAAGATAGGAGAGAGTATAGAGTATGGGACAGTTATATTCTGTGATGTCTTACCAGGAAACGAAAGTTTAGGATACGTTGTTGGAGTGGACATGGTAAGAAAATAATCTGACTTTAATAACTTCTGCATGTGTGTTAGCTAGTAAATGACATGCAATTAGAAGAAGAAACCTTATCCCACAAGCTACTTCAGCGGAGGCTGACCTAAAATGGGAAATAAACACTTGTGTTCAAAGATGCCCCTTGGTGGTAATTGTTTCTTGGCATCAGGTAAATGATATCCTATTTGATGCTAAAGAGTTCAGGAGAAATACTCTGGTTATTCTGAGGAGCCTCCACTGAGCTACTTGCCATGTTAGGTGTCAGTCTTGAAGTCATAGAGCTGAGTGTTTGTCTTGTGAGACTGGCTTTGTTCTGCCTGTTAAAAAAGTAGGCTGGATGTATTTTTCTTTTGTTAGCTGTTTTTAAAAGCTTTTTTTTCACGTTACTGTTTTTTTGCTTGACTTTGTTCTACCTTAAAAGTATTGAGTTTCAAGTACAAAAGTTGATTTTTCAAGAAAATGTGAAGCCTGTAATTAAAAAATATTTCTAGCAACTTGAATTTTTTAAAATAGACAGCTTTCAAATTTTTGGTAGTTCGACATAATGTTTTGATTTTGGTTTTGTAGAACAGATGCTTCCATTTTCTTGGTTGCATAGCTATTCCATAACAGTGCACTGAAGTTGTTCTAACTTGTTTATCCATAATAGTTTTTAGTAGAGGAATGCTTTTTAGAGTAGGAAATATTTCTCAAAAGAGCAGGTTTTAAGTTGCTTTTGTGTTTAATCTTTGGCTGTTCTAAATACAAAATTTGTTACAGGAAAAAGTAGACGTTGTCAAACCTTTCGTTTTCCTACTTTTTATATTCCTAAAGACATATGCATGATGTAAATCTTCTCTTGGGATACATGTAACATGTTTTTCTATTTTTAGGATAATCCGATTGGAAACTGGGATGGAAGATATAATGGAATACAGCTGTGCAGTTTTGCAAGTGTTGAAAGTACACTTCTTTTGCATATCAATGACGTTATTCCAGGTATGCCCAGCTTTCTTAACCAGAAGGCAGACTTCGATAACATCTCCACCTAGGCACAGTTATATGATTAAAACAATACTGCAAAGTTAATATCCTTAATTCACTTGAATTAGTTTAACCTTCTGTGTTATAATTCTCTTCAGTTTTCCCCTCCTTTGCATTATAGTCTCACTAGTAGAAAAGCTTTAATATTGAACAAAATTCCTGTCAAATAGTACAGTATTTACAATATTGTGGAGTTGTGTAATATTAGTGAATATGTGAGTGTCTGTAGCGGGAATCTTTTGTATGGACTGTTGTTAAATTTACTCCAGGAGTTTAAATATCTTGGATCAGAAAGCTGGTCTTTCTGTGCTGGAAAGGTATTGATAGTATTATGTATGCAGTCTGTGGGTAAATATTTGAAAATGCATAGCAAGACCGTGGAAAAATTCACAGCAGTAGTTCACAGAATAGTGTTAACTTGTAACAACTACAGTCCCCTGATCCCTTTTCTGAAGAAAGCAAAGTTTTTGTAAGTAACTTTTGCTTGGGCTCTGTAGACAGGTGTTAATGAGTGTTTGGTCTGTAACTGTTGCCCTTGCTCTTCGGTTTGACTGATTTATGTTCATCTCCTACTCGCTGGTTTAGTTGAGATGCATGATTTTGCATAAATTTTCCTCTCTTCTCTGGAGAATTCATACTGACTCCATTTTGGGGAGAAGAGCATTTGTTTTAAGTGTGTTGGTAGAAAATAAAGTTTAGAATTTCATGTGTCTGTTTCCTGTAATGGAAATATGCACATACATTGAAGTGTTCATGAAGTAATAGCAGACTTCAGAGCAAAGTAATTGCTGATGTGATAGAAGCAAATCCTGTACACGTAAAATGTTGGTTATGTGCCAAGCAAGGTTTTACTCCACTCAGTTTTAAAGCTTATGATGACAGCCCTTTGTTTGGTTACCTTTGGAGTTGAACTTCTCTGTAACACAGTAAAAACACAGAAAAGGGAAGCTAATACTCTCTTCATACACCATGTCTTAGAGACTGTGTCACAGGACAGGAGACCTCCCAAGCTTGCCTATACCTCAAGAGGTGACAAAAGCGTGTTCAATCACAGTAAGCCAAAGGCTACAGGTATGTGTGGGAAGTGATTTTCTGTACTTATGTAAGAATTACAAGTTTTTACTGCTTGGGGAAAAGTATTGTCTTTTCTGGCATTGGATGCTGACAGAGATGATCTTCACTAAAGTAACTGTGGTTATATGTTGGCACGAGTTATAGCTGTGTGGCATTGCATCAGTAATCTATTTGCCTACTGTGAAATTTTAGTGCTTTAAAAACAAAAAAATACCTGCTGTACACTGTATCACAAATATTTTCTTATATCCATAATTTATAGTCATGAAAAATTTGCACTTGAGAAGTATTTTCTGCCTTCTTTTCAAGTTGGGGACTTGAAATTTCAGCTTGGAGGATTATGTTAGTTTGGTGTAGATTTGTAAGCTTAGAACTGCGTTAGCCTTGATGGGAGAGTTTGCTGCTTTGTGTAAAAGCAGTTGGGTCTTTTTGAAAGTATAATAACAAATTTATACTGTGAAATAAGAGTGTAGGTAACCTTTTCTAAGTAGAGATTAACCTCTTCATTAAAGTATGTTGTTTTCCAGGATCTACCTCTGAACCTGGAAATAGAAGCAGATCTGAAGTCTTCTACACATTAAATGGCTCATCCGTTGACTCTCAGCCTCAAACAAAAACAAAACCCCCATGGTATATTGATGAAGGTAAAGAGAGATGCCTTCATGTAGGCATATACTTTATTTAAAAAAAACCACAGAACAAAACTAGAGTGTATTATGTTCTTCAAATAAAACAAATATGAGATTAAATGTAAAACAGTTGGAGTATATTGTCTTAGTGGAAGACATACTATATCATAAAAAGCATCTTGAAACTCCTATGAAAGTGTTCTCTGTCTTAATGTGACCTGTGGTTTTATTCTGCATGTAGGAGATTACATTCTTGGCAATGTATGTGCAGCTCTGTGGGAATGCATATGTCTTGCAGGCAAAATAAAAGCTGAGGCTTGATGGAGGATATGAAGATATTCCTTATAGCCAAGTAGACAGAGTAATTGTATTTTGCCTGTCTTTGTAGCTAATGTTACAGATCTAAGGGAACTATTCTGCCATGCCAGCTAATCAGTCTGGAAGTGGGGAGGGGAGAAATAATCTGGCTACGTATACATGTTTTTTCAGTATTTTTTAAAAGTTATTTCTGTAAAATCTCTCTGTGAGTTTTTAGAAGTATGAGTGCACATGCCTAAAGGATCAGTATATCTTGATTTGCTTCCAGACCTTTTTTTTTTTCTGGCTGATAAACTTTAGAAAAGTATAGCTGGCTGGCAGAGTGACTGAAGGGGTAAAGACTAAACTAATAATGTTAATTTACAATGGAAACTATTGCAGCAGTAGCCCTCGAATTCCATGAACTGTAAAAGAAAATGGGTTAAAATTGTTCTTGGTTGTGTAACAGTTGTCATATTTTTTTAACTTTTTTTTTAGACATTAACTTCAGTTAATAAAACAGTGTGTGGAGAGCAATTGATGAAGAAGAGGCTTTCGTTCTGTGAATACCAATTGTGTAATAGAGATCTTTCCAACTCAGGATATTTTATGATTCTATGTAGAGAGATGAGAGAAGATACAGAACACCTGTGCTAGTGTTGTGTGATCACATCTAGTTGTGGTCTCTTTTATCAGGCACAACATTAGTCGTGACATATACAGACGCTGATAGGTTCCTTGTGTTAGAACTAAAGTATATTGTGATAAGAGTCAGGGGAATAAACACTTTTCCCTTTGCAAATCGTGTCTGCAAGCAATTACTCATGTCTCTGTAAGCTGTGAACCAAGTCCTTTCCTCAGTCACAATGGCCAATGAACTCTTCCTAGTTTTACCTGTTATAATCCTTGTGACCATTAGCTCATGTTCAAAGAAAAAGTCTCAGGATGAAAAAAGTTTTCAGTCTAAACCTTTCTGTAGTTTCTGTCTAACATCATCTTTCTCTGTGCTGTTTGTTTTTGTTGTTTGTGGTAAAAGTGATGGGGCTGCAGCAGTGTCTCCTCAGTTAGTTCTGTCTCTCCAGTGTTGCCAAGTGCCAAATGTCTTCCTAAATGTCCCTCCCCAGCTCTTAGTGCTTTCTGTACAGTCACACGTTAAATCAGATGTGGTTGCAAATGCACTTCATTGGTTTGAGAGCCAAGTCTTTCCTTTTTTAAGACGGGGGGAAAAAACCCCCAACACTTACTAACATCTTGGTTTTGATTTTAACAGCTACTGAAGACCCTGCAAAATCACTTACTGATTCATCTTCTGGATTTGGGCATTCTTCACCTCCACTGCAGCCACCTTTAACAAACTCTGTGTCTACAGAAAACAGATTTCACTCCCTCCCTTTTAGCTTGACAAAAGCAACAAGTACAAATGGTACTATGGGACACAGTCCTCTCTCTTTATCTGTTCAGTCGGTCATGGGTGATGTGAATACTGCAGCTAACCAGGACAGTCCATCAACAGCAAGCCCAATTGGGAACTCACATGGTCTTGAAGCAGGTTCCTTGGCTGAAGTTAAAGAAAATCCTCCTTTCTATGGAGTCATCCGTTGGATTGGCCAGCCCCCTGGAGTAAATGAAGTGTTGGCTGGACTGGAACTGGTAAATATAAATTGTAGTTCATATTAGTGTTAATTACTAGTTTTGTTTCTCAGAGCTGGTCCCTGTATATGTTGCAAAAGCAGCCAATCTGGGGGGATTTGCCCAAAACAGGTTGCCATGTGATGTCCTTAGAGCTAAATTCTTCGATGAGCTCTGACTTTTGTGGCTGTCCTAGACCTTACCCTGTTAAGAGGCTCTGAGATGTCTTCGTGTTACAAGGGGTAATTGAATTTGTGGGACTGATCACTTCCTTGCTTTAAAGGAGTGTCCTTTGCTTACATTATGGAGATTGTAATTGAAAAAAGCTGACCATATTTTTAACGGTCTTTTGAAATGCAGATTTATATAAAATGCCCTGACTGTAGGAGCCTTTACTGAGTATCACTTTGATGTTTGTTTTTTGCATACCAGCAAACAGGCAGAGTTATGACTGTCAGAGCCATAACGCTGGTTTTGATAGCTGGTTTAATAACTGGTTGATATGACAGCCACGTGCTTTATGTGTTTCTCTGGGCCCTTTGGAAAAGCACAGTTGCTGCAAACGTGAATTGCTGTTCTGCACTGACATTTCTTCTGTGGCAGCTGCTACCAGGGTTGCGGTTGGCTGTCAGTTAAATTAATGTGTATTCAATTAAGAAAATGGGGTTCTTTATTTTGGGATAATAATTAATAAAACTGAACATTATACATAATACATATACATAATACATAACACTGTACAATTATGTAAAACACAAACAAAGTAGATCGGAATGTGGAATTCCAGCTGTTACAAAAAATCCTTATCCTTGTGGGTGTTTTGGATGAAGTTGGAAGCCACAGTTTGCCACAGGTGTTCTGAGGCTGCACCTTAGGGTGTTGTGTGTTAACTTGTGTGTCACTCGTGCATTTCTGCATTTAAGCCTAGCAGTAGACAGTATACCTTAAATCATATTCTCAAAGATAATAACTTGTTATTGTTCATACTTGGTTTGTGTTGTTTGTCCTTGATGTACATTTTGTGTGTTCCAAAGCAGGCATTTTTCTTGTGCAGCACAGTCACACTGAAAGTATTCACACTACCCAATGCTTAATGATTTTAACTGAGTTGTAAAAGGTGCTCGGTACTGCATGTGTGCTCTTCCTAACTACAGAAGGAATCTGGACTGGGTCTCCCCTCCCACTTCCCCAAGGTGCTTCTGATGAAATTTTAAGCATGAAGAAAAAAACCTGCAACTCTTACTTTCCTCAGTAAATCCAGTTAATACCTCAGTCAAAGCTTTGTATACTAAAATGCAGAAACACTGCATATCACGATTCAGAGTACCTGAGGGGTGACTTGTGGGTAGATACTCTATCAAATGTCTTACTGCAGAATTCTAGAAATAAGAAAAATAGTGAATTCTCACTTGAATTTCCAGGAAGATGAATGTGCAGGCTGCACGGATGGGACATTTAAAGGAACTCGATACTTCACTTGTGCTCCGAAGAAAGCTCTTTTTGTTAAACTCAAAAGCTGCAGGCCAGATTCCAGGTTTGCCTCACTGCAGCCTGTTTCCAACCAGATTGAACGCTGCAACTCTCTAGGTACTGACCTTCTGCTTCTTTCTTGTTTATCAGCTGGGAACTGACCAGGGGTTTGGTTTCATTTATTCCTGCAGTAAGTTCTTTGTATTGAACACTTGAGAATCTGTACAGGTGTTACTTAAATGAGATTAATGAATAGAAGATCAACCTGTACAGCATACAGTGGTTCTGTGGATTACTCTTTTATGCTTTAAAACAAGAAAATTTTCATATATTTAAAGACATTTCATAAAAGGGATTTTTTATGCTGTATGTTTTTTACTTTAGAAGTTGTAAAGCAGTCTTGCTGAAAATGGTATTTGCTACTCTAGCAATGTGTGATTGCATTGTCAGAAATAAAGGCAGCTATTTTTCTCTATAGCAGGAAATTAATTTACTTTCTAAATATTAACATTAAAAAAGCATGTATGTTTATGGTAGAATTTAGTGGTAAAAAACTTTTTTTTTTTTTTTCTAACTTCAAGTATTTTAGATTTCTTGGGTCATGCTGGGGACCCAGCAAAGAAAAGTGTCTGATACTTGTAAGATAGTGTGAACAGGGCATTTGTAATGAAAAGAGAACTTCATTCCTACTGATAAAATTAATTCAGTGCTTGCAGGCTTTCTGAAGCACTCTAATGTGCATTGCCAGTGGAATGTAAGGCCTCGTTCACTCTCTGGAACACTGAGTTTCAGCTATAATAAAATGCTATTCTAGTCCAGAGAAGGAATGCTTACACTAAGGCAGCAACTTAGCTATAAAACATTAATAGGGAAATCTGAAGGGGAGTAAAATTTGAGGCTTTAAAGTGTCTTTTGAAAAAAAAAATTTCAGCCTTTGGAGGTTACTTAAGTGAAGTGGTAGAAGAAAACACTCCTCCAAAAATGGAAAAAGAAGGTTTAGAGACAATGATTGGAAAGAAGAAGGGTATCCAGGGTCATTACAACTCCTGTTACTTAGACTCCACCTTATTCTGGTAAGTTCATAATTTGTGTAGTAGCATCCCATGCTAGACATGCAGAACATGGATGACTGTCTGTGTGTGTTACTGTGCAGCTCCCGTGTCATGGCTCCAGCCTGACATGTTACTGTGCTCTTCCAGTGGGAGCAGGTTCTGCAGCATTTGCTGGGTAACAAAGTGCTAATGATGTCCCCGCTGCTCTGGCCCTTCTGTAGCTGCTCGGTTTGGCTGAGGGAGTCCCTGGCCTGTAAATGGTTGAAGGATGAAAGACAACCCAGGCTGTGGGTGGAAGGAGGGAGGGAAATACCCCTTATGGCTTATTTGCACAGTCCTGCCTGGGCAATTGTTCTGTACTTTGCTGCAGAAAGCACACTGGGTTAGAGTGGGCTTTTGCTATTTAGCACAGCTGTGTTGTCCCCTGTCCATAATTACTGCTTTTGGAGTTTGTTTAGTTCTTTAATTTTTCTGTGGCTTTGCTTGCTTTCTCTTACATTGCTCAGACATCTGAATGGTCATCTCTTCCAGGGTCAAAACAACCTTCCTTTTCCTTTTTTCTTTGTAGCCTGTTTTCTTTTAGCTCTGTTTTGGACACTGTGTTGCTCAGACCTAAAGAAATGAATGATGTAGAGTATTATAGTGAGACTCAAGAGCTGTTGCGGACAGAAATTGTGAATCCTCTGAGAATGTAAGTAAAGACATGAACTGGTCTCTAATATAAATTAGAGAGATCCTGCTGTGTATGCATTCCTCTTGCAAATCTGAGAAGTTTGGCTGCCTGCTCCTACCACCCTATTCAATTTATTTTTTTAGTATTTTTACTTGTTCTTCATGGTAAATTTAATCAGTGCTAACTGGAAATAGTTATTCATTGTTTGGTGATAAAATATTTTTGCTAGTCTCGATTTGGAAATAGGATCAGCATAAAGCTATTGTAAAATTTATACAGGTATAAATAACAAAACACTGATAAATACAAGTTAAGTTCATTCACAACATTCTTATTTACATGTTTTTAATGCTGTTGTACTTGACAAGAAAAGTATGTGAGTTATCTTACATGGTGTTTCACAATTTATTGGATTTGGCAGGGCATTAAAATTTTGTTACTGTTTACATGTGGTCTGCAAGTGGTCAAAACACTTTTTTTTAAAGGAACTACATATGAGCTCTGTAATTTCTTAGGCACAATGAGCAAAGGACACGCAACAAAAATCTGCATGAAAAGTTACTTTTCTTGAGCTTAATTTCTTTTGAACATGAGAATAATACAGTTGTAGTTCTGAAATTCTGTGGGCTGTCACTGAACAATTTATCACCAAGTTTTTATTTTGATTCCTGGAATTTGGCCTCTGAACCCTTGTTCTTGTAAGGGTGTGTGTACTTTTCCTGGTGTGTTCAGGGTTCTGTGCTATAGGTAGGATAGCAGGATACACACTGAGTAGCAGAAATCTCAGGTGGCTGAGATGACTGAAAGGTCTTATTACCTTTCTACCATGCTTAAAACTTTAGAGGAAAAGACTGAATGCTCAAAACCTCAGCTTCTTAGGTCAGCAATACAGCTCTGTATCTTTTTATCAAATATTGAATTTTGGTTTTATTAACAACTCCCACAGTGCTGTTATTATGTGACATTCTGAAAATTATATATTAAGTGATGCAAATTAGAGTGAAAACAAATCAAAAGTAATTGACTGACAAATCAGAAAACAGTTATTCTAATAAGTTGATGATTAAAAATGCTCTTAAAGGCTATAAAAGAACATTGAGCACTGCAATAAATTTATCCTGCATTAAGAAATCTGGAAGTCAGATTGAATATGAGAAGTCACACTTGGTTTTGAAGAAATACTGTATGCAGTTAAAGAAGGATTTGAGAACCTGTATTTCAGCATTTAAGAGGGTTGGGTTTTTTGTGCTTCTCTGATTTGGTCACAAACTAGCTAATAGCTTATTAAACCCATTTATCTTAGATACGGATACGTATGTGCTACAAAAATAATGAAACTGAGGAAAATACTTGAAAAAGTTGAGGCTGCCTCAGGATTCACTTCAGAAGAAAAAGGTAACTGGGGAGGTTTTCCTTTCTTTGAGACTTATAAGAATCATAATATTAAAGAACTGAGATACCTTGCTATGTAATTATACCAGAACAAAACACCTAAATAGTTTCTTGTAGTAGTAGGGTCTCTACCAGAAATTTGAGTGATCATTGGCTGGCAGAAAGGTCTTTTCTTCTTCCTTGGGAGTGTAAGGAACCCTAGCTGAACAATTTCTGTAAAAGTCTTTCACTGCTTGGACTTCTTTTATTGCCTTCCTGTGGCCCTGTAACTCCCTTCTAGCACTTAGGGGAGAACAGTGTGATAAGGCTGGGGTCTTTGTCCTCTTTCAAAATGTCCCTTTGGTCCCTGAGGAATAAACTTTTTCACTACCAACATTTCATTGTTACAATGGTTATTTAGTATTTTAAAAAATAAAATGTGTAAATCATATTAGAAAAATATCAGTTCCCAACTTTTTGATCTTTACTGCATATAATGAATAATTTGCATTATATTATGTAGCTGTTTCTGCTACTTCCTTTGTAAATACTGACCACTGGAAACCAGTATTTATTGTAGTTAATACATCAGCAAACTGTGGTGGGGAGAATGGCCCTCTGGGAAGCTACTGTTGGCTGCATTCTTGATGAGAACTCAGTCTCTAGTTTAGATGAATTCTGTAGTATGGAGTGGTTTTTATGTGTTACTGTCACTACTCCTCACTGCTCCTCTGCAGATTCACTGTTTTCTTTTGAAAGCTTTTGTTTCTCCTGGAAAAGTTGTGTGGTGCCAAATGATTCCTCTGAAAGACAAAGCATCTTTTTGGTCTTTACTGGGAAGCTTTGTTGCCCTGTTGAGCCTGTACCTTTTATTAGGGCCTTTTGAGACCAAAAGAATAAATAGAAGCTTTCCATGAAAATGTTCATAGTTTATCATAACCTTACTGTGTTAATAAATATAAAAATTAACGGGTTTTTTTTTAACTGTTTTTTTCCTATGAAAATTTTGAAAACCTTCATTATAAACGAGTCTTGAATAATGCAGCTGGTTTTGCATGCTAACAAAACTTTTTTTTCTCTCCCCCCTTGCAGATCCAGAAGAATTTTTGAATATTTTATTTCACCATATTCTAAGAGTTGAGCCACTGTTGAAAATAAGGTGAATCTTTTTTTCTTTGGTGAACTCAACCATTTGTAGAGGCTGATGCAGAGAAGCTATCTGCTGCCTTTTAAACTGAGACAACTCTTAAAACACCTTTGACTTGTGATTAAAATTGCTAATAGGATTCAATATAGTAAAGTTATATTGACTAATTTGACACTATTTCCTACCTTTTTTGGTAGGTAGGTTTTGCCATACTGGTGTTGTTGCACAAGCTCATGAGCACAGTTTCATGAGAGCTGGACAGAGATCCTGTGTCCTAGTGCTGTCTACTTGAGATCCTTACTGTCTTCCTGGTAATTATGCTGGAGAAGGGCTGCTGTAAGAGGGCCTACAGCAATTCTTAATGTGGCCTGCAGCTTACAGCTCCTTATTTCTGGGACAAGCTGCACAGATTGCTGAGTCAGTGCGTGAGCTGTAGAAACTGATTTGCATTTCTTCTGTTAGGCTAATGAAAATATTTCAGTTGTTTGCCTTGATCAAGTTTAGTTCTCTTACTTTATCAAAATAACAGATGCTGGCATTTATGTATGGATTCACTCTCAGCTGTAGCACTACAAGGGTTCAGCTGTCGTAGCTGGGTTTAAGTGAGGGGGGGACTGTTGCTCACTGCTGTCATACAGTTAGCTGGCACCTGATATTCCCAGGTTCCTTGCTGCATTCTGTGGCAGCAGCACCATTACAAAGCATTTTCTGTAGTTTCTCAGTCCTTTCCTCGTTTCAGGACTTGTGTTGCTTTCCATGCTGCTGTAGTTCTGTGCTGTGTGAGGTGTATCTGTGCCCACTGTGTTGTGCTCTGCAGAGGTGGGGGCTCTGACACTCACTGAAACTTACACTGCTTTTGTTTCTTTAAGTTTTCCTAAAATCAGTCCACACTTAGTACTTGTCTGCCTGTCCTCTAAGGCACTTTGTTTTGGGGGGTATTTTGTTTTGTTTTGGTTTGTTTGTTTGTTTGTTTTCTTAAAGCACAATATATTTCAATGCAGAGTGGATGTTTTATAAACTATTTTCTCATAGATGTTATTTTCCTAGTAAAATACAGTCATTACAATAGAGCTTCAGAATCTGTTTTGTTTTTTTTTTTAATCTGTTTTTAGATCAGCAGGTCAGAAAGTACAAGACTGTTACTTCTATCAAATTTTTATGGACAAAAATGAGAAAGTTGGAGTCCCAACAATTCAGCAATTACTAGAGTGGTCATTCATCAACAGCAACTTGAAGTTTGCAGAGGTTGGTGACAACTGTTACCTTGTTAGAAGTGATGATATCTAGATATTTGCCCATTCAGCAGAGGGACAAAAGGAGGATTTGGTGTAAAAACATGTGGACATGTTGGAAATGGGAATACTATGTCAGTGGTCCAGGATGCCTACATAACAAAAATATTTTAAGGCTGACTTAATGACATGTCTCCTTTGGCTGAACAGACCAAAGGGATTTAGGCAAAGAATTGCTAAAAGAAAACTTCTTAGTTACTGGCAGTAAGTTGTTTTAAGGACTAATACTTTGTGATATCTCTGACAATGGACTGCAAGTTTAAATAACATGAATACAATTATAACATTAGAAGTATCTCTAATCATTACATTATATTCTGGCATTTTACCTAGGCACCCTCTTGCCTGATTATCCAGATGCCTCGGTTTGGAAAAGACTTCAAAATGTTCAATAAAATTTTTCCATCCTTGGAATTAAATATAACAGACTTACTTGAAGATAGTAAGTATATAACACTGCATTGTATAACGGGAGTTGCTGAGGGTGACTAACACAGTAGTTTGGGTGGTTTGTTTCGTTGGGGTTTTTTTCTATTAAATATTTACCAAGATTTTTTTAATATATTGTTTTTCTCTATTTAAAGTAATATTTCTCCTTCCTTTTCATACTCCTTGTGTTGAAAAAAACCCAAACAAAACACAAAAAGCCTCTCCAGATTGGAGACTAATATATTTTTTAAAAACGCAGCTCCCAGGCAGTGCCGTATATGTGGAGGGCTCGCTATGTATGAGTGCAGAGAATGTTATGAAGACACTGATATTTCTGCTGGGAAAATCAAGCAGTTCTGCAAAACATGCAATACACAAGTAAGTGGTTCTGTTTGTTATTCTGTGTGGGTTTAACCCGAGTGGTTTATGCTGTAATAATTGAAAGGAAGGTGTAAGTGAGATTTCTTCATCAGCACTACTGTAACTGCCACCCACCCAGTAAAATGTCTCCTTTGGTGACAAATCAGGAACTCCTGCAATGTGTTTATCAACATGGCAACTGCCAAATCCAGGACTGGACACAGTGGAGAAGCAGTAACTGTCTGCTTTAGATCCTAATTTATGTACATGCCCCCTTGTTAGAGTTGATAAATTCATGACATAGAACTGCTTAGTTTCTGTTTGATAATTGCATAAAGATGTCAATCATGGCTTGTTTTCAAGTCTGAGTGTAGTAGAAAATTGTTGCATTAAAGCTGACCTCCCTTCTAACCTTAAGTTTGAATTTTGTGGGCAATGTTGAACTATACTGATGGAGAAAAATAGAAGAAATGTTTAGTCAGCTACTGTTATTGCAGTTCCTTCTCTAAAGCCATTAATCTTCTGTTCAGCAGTAATGTTCTTTTTAGCTTTGTCTGCCACTGAAACAAATAATCTTACGGGGTGTTTTCCTTTTCTGAAATATCACTTCAACTGTAGGTTCATCTTCATCCCAAGAGACAGAGTCATAAATTCAATCCGTTGTCACTTCCTAAGGATCTGCCAGACTGGGACTGGCGGCATGGCTGCATCCCCTCCCAGAAGATGGAGTTGTTTGCAGTTCTGTGCATCGAAACCAGCCACTACGTAGCTTTTGTGAAATATGGGAGGGATGACTCCGCCTGGCTCTTCTTCGACAGCATGGCAGATCGGGATGGTAGAGCTTTCATTTATTCTGTTCACCTTCTCTTAGTTTTTTTAAGTGTGTTTTAGATTTCAGCGACTATTTCTTAAAGCTATGAGAATATTAATATTTTTTGACTTGATGTACTTGATGCTGGTTTACTAATCTTGACCCAACCTTACCTCTGCACATTGATTTCATGGCAGCTGCTGATTTGCATAATCTGAATTTCACCTAAATTGGATACCTGAGTGAGTAGATGGTACAGAAACAACTGCAGAAATTTGCTAGCAGGACTCCTTATATGTTTTTCTATGCTCTGCAAATTTGGCAGAAAGAATTAATTTTAAATAATCAACTGCAGGAATGTATTTTTAGTCTATATTTAAGTGGATGTACATGATCATCAGATAGTATGCAAATATTTTTATTGCTTTTTCTTAAATGACTTACTGTAGATGTCTTTAGAATAAAAGAAATAGTCAAACATTACAACATGTATGCCATTCCTTTGAATCTCTTTAGAGTTATCAGTGGAAAATTGTTACCCTGTAATAATACAAATGTCAGTAAAACAAGTGTTCTCTTAGATACTGCTATTTAAACAGATACTGTTTAAATAAGGACTGTTCAATTCTAGTGCCTGAGAAAAACAGTAAGAAATGAAGTGTCAGACTCATAGTAACAATTTTTGCATGAAGAATTCTTGAACCCTTGTGTTACAGTGTGGTTTGGCAGGGAGAGAAGAATATTGCCTCCTGTTGAAAATGAAACTGCTACAGGATTAAAGTCACTTTCTTATACCAACCAGAAGACAATCAAGCTTTGTTTCACAGTGTTTGAAATGTGTATGACTGAAGTCTTTATTTCAGGAATTTAGATCACATGAGGTGCTGGATATATCTCCTGCTGATCTTAGGGGTTTTTTTTGTATCACAGATATTTTCCTTCAGCTTTTCTTCATAAGTTAAGAACTTATGGGAACTGCAAGATGGATGTTCATACTTGCGTTGTTTGAATTTGCTCACTTTTATGTGGAAAATGGCCAGGAGTAAACTCTGCTTTAGGTGTTGTAAGTCAGGTAGAGACAGGGTTTGTAAATTCATCAGCTGTTACCAGTTGTCATGTTATTAACAAGTTCAGTAGCATTAGAGGTGGATTATGTATTCAGGTCACTCTCCCAAAGCCGTACAGAATTTTTGGTGTTAAAGAAAACCAAAAGTTCTCCTTGGGTTTTTGTGGTGTTTGTGTGGGTGTGGTTTGTTAGTAAACAGCACAAGATATTCTGACACTAATTGTGATTTTTCAAACAATGCACTTTTTATAGAAGTTTACCCTGCAGAGGTCCAGAGGGTCATATTTAGGCTTTTTAGAAGGCATTTTCAAGAACTGGTGATGCTGTCATAATTAAAGTATATGATAAAGAGCAGATATATGCAGATGCTATCCTAATCCATTTCTCCTTCTTTCCTTATGGTTTAAAAGGAGGTCAGAATGGCTTCAACATTCCACAAGTTACCCCATGTCCAGAAGTTGCCGAATACCTGAAGATGTCTCTAGAAGAATTACACTCACTAGATTCCAGAAAAATCCAAGGATGTGCACGAAGACTGCTCTGTGATGCTTACATGTGCATGTATCAAAGTCCAACAATGAGTTTATACAAATGAAGAGGGATCTCTGCAGAACTGAAGAAACAGTCGGGGTCACCGGCTGTTGTGTTTGCTGCATTCTGGGTTAGTTTCAATGCAACCGTTGCTGGCAATGGACGAAGTTCACTATGACAGCAGAAGGATTTACGGTCCCAAAACCTACACGTGGAGTTCTGTAACTGAAGTATTTTAAGCATTTTGCACTCTAGGAAGTGTGCTTGTGTGTGTTTGTTTTATAAACAAAGTTAAGTTACTAAAACTTAAAGCTTTAAGTGCATTGATTAAACACAGGCTTTTTAAAAATGGTAAAGGTGAAATTATATCAGGAAAAATCTCCTTAGTCCATTGGGAATGTAAGGATACACAGTGTGCATGCTCAGTGCATGTCTGTGGACAGGGATAATGATTCTCATGTGTTTCTCTACCCCCACCCTGTTTCCCCACCCTTGATCTTCTTAGTACCACAGATTCTTCTCTTGAAGAAGAATCTGTGGTAATAAGAGAATAACTTCAGTTTTAGTAAGATAAATTTTAGACTGTTCATTACATATTAATTTTGTTCTGTTATCTACTACATTCTTTTCAGTTCCAAAAATTAACATTCATTTAAAAATCTGAGTTCCTGTCTTGTGAAAATCAAGCTCACAGACTTGCTGTGTCGTTAACTTGTAATTTTTGGAGGGGAAAAACAGGAGGAGAGAGAGGGTATTAAGGGGAAGCATAATTGCTGAAATATAAAATTAGCAATGAAAGTTAACAGATGTCTTTTTCTAAGTGTCTATTTTTAAAGAAACAAAGCAGTCTGGAACAGAACAGCAACTATACACAAACGATTCCAGGACAAAACAATAAAATAGTGGATTGCCTCAGGGAATGTTACTGAAGTGGATTCTAGTCCTTGGTAAACAGAACTGACTTTTCTACAGCACATTAAGCTACTGCCTGGGAATGTGTTATACATCTGACTCTTCATTTCAGGATTACTAATATTAAAAAGAGAATATTAAAAATCTCTGCCTGGAAAGATGAAACTATAAATAAAGGTAGATCAGAGTTTTACTGTATACCAAGTACCTGATGAAAACTAACTTGAAAAGCTGCAAAACCTTTGTTAATGTAAAATACTGTACTTCAAAGTCTGTTGGTTCCTGTTTGCAATGAAATACTGTTGTTCTAGTTGCCTTTTAGCTACTTCTGTCTACACTGACTAGCAAACATGCAACTATATATATACAGTACCATCTGGTTGTACAAATTGCATATATATGAACTGTACATTTTCAACTCTTAAGATGTTTTATATGGAAACTTCCTTTTGGCGATCAAGTCTATAGAAGGAGAGAGAACAAAATATAACAGAGGAAAAGTCACTTTGAAAAAGCCACTGTTTTAAAGGCAATGGAGACTGATCCCATATTGTCGAAAATGTGGTTACTTTGTTTTTCTTGGAAAACCTATAATCTTTCTTTGGGACACACTACCACAGAACAGTACTAGAGAGAGATTTGAAAACTACTTGAAGGACTAATCTCTGTAAAGCAAGGTTGATCTGTTCCATTAGCTATTGCATGAAGTGTGCTCTAATTTTTCACTTTCAAGAGCAACAAAACTATTAGAAGTGTCACTGTTGCTTTTGCCTCTATGAGTCTCCTGGCTTTCACATTCCCTTGCCTTATTTATCTAGTCTGTGCTCCTTGGCAAAACTCTCTTGTTTCAGTACTGCCCTGAGCTCTTGACCTCTTTCTCTCCTGGAAAAATTCAGTGAAGCTTTAGGTGATGGGTTCTATAACCATCTGTCAATGGATTGGTTATTGTCCATGGGCACTTCCTTGGGTACATCCCATCCTGCTCTGGGACAGCAGCTGGGATGTGTTGGCAAAGGTGCCCTGGAAGCATCTTGTAGGTAAAGAGAGCAGGCCTTGACTTGCTTGTGGCAGCTTGTGTTCATTGACATGAACTAGAGACCACTTAAGTCATCCAAGCAGAAGGTGGGGTAGCCCACCCTTGACTGTGCAGTGAAGAGGGTTGGCCACAGCCTCCATGTCCCTCCAGTGATGATTTTAGAGCTGTTTGCAAAGCAAAGGCTGAGGGGACTTGTTAAAAAAGGCAATAGTAATACAACACTCAACTCACTCTCTACAACATTTGAGCCCATGTTTGATCCCTTCCCTCCCCCAGCCCCACCATGTCACTTAACCTGCAAGTGTCCCCTCTGAACAAGGAGCAAAGGCAGGCACAAGTACAAACCTTTGTACCAATGAGACCAGTTTGAATGTCTGGATTCTTCTCTTCCCTAACCCTATATTTATTTTTGACTTTTCCCGGTGCATTAATTTCATATATCTTCCACTGGTGTCATCTTTCCCACACCCCCAGCCCCATTAAATAGAGTTACCTCTTCCTGCCAGAACTTTGAGAACAGCCTTGGACCTGCTCTGGCCGGAGGACAGAAATGGAATTGGCAGCCCTGTTAAAGTTTTCTAGCTGAATAATCTTGTAGCAAAATACCCACTCTTTTTTACAACTGCAAATATCCAAGAATCACAGTTTTTCGGGATATATACTCTATTATCAGAAGTGAAGGAATTGTTTGGCTTCTTGCCTCCAAGAACGTAGGGAACATTCACTACTGTGCACTTGGTGACAAATACTGTGTTTGGAAAGACAGGCAGTGCTTTGCAGCCTGCATTTTGTACTGTAGATTATTGCAAAATAGTTTTGCAAATGGTATATGGTTAGTTTATTGCTCACCAGTTAAGAGGACAGAGAGGTTTTTTTTATAATGTTAAAAAAGTTTTGACAGTCTTCTTTTAACCTAAAAAGTGTGATGTACTGTACTGGATTGAAGGTGATCTGGCAATGTAAGTGAAATGTTATAGAAACTAACCCCAATTTTATTTCCTTTCTCAGGAACAAGTATTCAGACAGAAAAGTGATTTCACTGTGAAAGGAAACTTGTAAAATAACTTACATACTTATATGCAAGGGTAAGAAAGCTTTTTTTTTTTTAGCCTTCAGCATGTATTTGTAGGGGAATTGAATTGAATAAGCTATTTTGAAGTCTGCATTTTAAGTATTTGCTGCTGGTAAATGTAATGCCCAAAGATTTCAGTGACTAAGCACCCAACATTTATGTTGTTTAATGCATTTGGAAACCTCTCAATCAGTTCTTCTTGTTCTCTTTTTTTTATATAGTGAATGTCCTCAAAAATTAATAGCGCTCGGGTCATTGCTTCGTGATTTGGCTCATATGTACTGCTGACAATGGCCTTAAGCTGTGAGTAGGAAAACACATAGAGAAAATGGTTCCTGACAGCCTGTAAAAATGTAAAGTTTCATAGTACGTAATCTTTCATAACTGGGAGAAAACCTGCACCCCTATACAACTCACCTGCTCTACTAAACATTTTTAGAACTCGGGGTTCAAGACAGAACAAATCACTGTGCCACTAAACACTTGCTTATTTTGAACGTAGAGGGTAAGGAGAAAAGGTCTTAGTTAAAGGTGATGCCTTATACATTACTAAAACAAACAAACAAAAACCATCAAACCCCCACCCATCCAAACCCACTGTAAGTTACATCAGAATCCTTGTCTTTGGGTGGGGGAGATAATTGGAGGAAAAAAATGCAAAGATATCTATGTTAAGTAAAGGTCTTTCTAATATCTGTGATACCAATTCCGTGCTCTTGAGAATTGTAGTACTGTGTTGTACTAAAACAGCCTGTGAGATTCCCATTTTCAGCAAGTATTATGTGTAACAAGAATTCCTCTTGATCATAAATGGTTCATTTCAATGCACTTATTTTTCTCGTGCACTTTATACTCCACTGACTCACTGAACGTGCTCACCAGGCTCCCTGAGGATGGCCTGTTCCATACAACACCAAGGCACACCGTGCTGCACTCTGGAGCAGTGTGGTTTCTGAACTGAACTGGTGTAAAAAGCAGCTTGAAAAGCTTTGTGTATTTTTACCACTGTAACAAAGCATGTTTTTATCTGTTCTTGATGTTTTGCTAAATAAACATCCCATGTTTTGTGCACAAATAGTCTCTTAAACTTACAAAGGCTGTGTCCAAGAAGGCATTAGGGAAACAAATCATTGGATCAGATTGCCCTCAACTAGCCTTAACTTTTTTTTTTTTTCCCAATGGTAGAGCTGAATGAGTTGCTGCTGGAAAGGAATGTACCATGTGCTCTTTCTGTATTAATATTAATTAAAAACATTGTTCTTATGGCTCTATTCATTTCTTTGGGGCTTGGAGTTTTGGGAGTTTCATGAAAAAGAACGAATACAGTGGTGAACTAACTTGTTTTGCATCCTTCGAGAAGGATTTATGTTTATACCTTTCTGTTAGTCCCTCTTCAGCGTTTCTAGGAAACTTGGAATTGTACTGTATCAAATCAGGTCTAACAGTACGACTTCTATCTTAGCAGTTAGTACCTGATGCTGTAAGGGAAAACCACTGAAAAACAGCTATAGTTACCTGTAGTTTTCCTGGGGGAAAAACTGCTTAATTTTTAAATGCTTAGTACACCACTTTGCTAACCCTAGTGAGCAGCCTAATCCTCCTGGGACTATATGCTGTAGCTTCATCAGCGCTGAATCCACAGCTCCCAGTTTACATACATTTTCTGTATAGAAAAAATCCAGTATCTCTAGGTGTAACTTTTTTTTTTTTTCCTGAGTATAATAAGAAGAATGGAAAAAATCCTACTGGGGTCTGTAAAAGGAATTCTGTCCATGTAAGTATTTTTAAAATCTTTATCTCACTGAAAATACTTAAACACGTGTAAAAATAGTCGCAAAAGATATTTTTAGGAAAAACACCCACTTGCGCAGAGTAAAGGGTCGGGTTGGTTTTTAAACTGAGGTTTTGAGCTTGCAATAAGATTGTTCTTTGCCTTTGTAGAAGCTAAAGCTGAGCCTGCCAGTGACGGGTCCCCGATCCCGGCGGTCGCATCCCGGTTCCCCCGTTCGGCCGCACGAGGGCAGTGCCCGCACCGGCTGCGGCTCTCGCGGGCTCGGGACGCGGGATCGACCCTCCAGCTTTGTCATCCCGGCTTTGCAGCTCTGCTCTGAAAACTGCCTCGGGCCTGAGGCACTTGGGGGCATGTGAGGCTTTCACAGGTGTGTACGTTCCGCGCCCGCCCCAAGCGCACGGCAGCGCGGTTGGGCTGGGCGTGAGCAGCGCTGGAATCGCCCCGTGCTCAAGCCCATGGACAGCGCACCAAAGCCAGGCAGGCTGGTCCCATCCCACTG